GTAAATGCATACGCACAAGTTAACATCTGATTTTCCCAACGAAAGATAAAAAGCAATGTATGATAGGCATAGGATAAATATGATTAGTCAGCTCATGTGAGGGCAAATTTTACTGTGTACCATAGTCCATGTAGTAATGTGATCCATAAAGTAAATATCATTTTAATTATGCTTTAGTTTCATTTAATTTGACAATATTATTCTGTTTTTTAATTTCATTTTTCACACTCACTAGCTAGTTTCATTATAGTAATATCAAAGTATCATTTTAATTCTACTACAGTTTCATTTGACAATATACATTATTGTATAAACTTTATTTTGTTGTTTAAGTTTTTACACACACTAGTTTAATTATAATAATGCTAAAGTATTGTATTAATTACACTCCACGTTCATTTTGAGAATATATGTTATTGTATCATTTGCATGGTTCTATATTTTAGTTTTATTTTCTATACACACTAGTTTCATTTTAACAACATTAAAATATTATTTTAATTATACTATAGTTTCATTTATCAATAAATTATTGAATGAACTCTATTTTTTTGTTTCATTTTTCACACACATTAGTTTCATTTTAACAATATTAAAGTATTATTTTAATTTTACTACAATTTTATTTGACAATCATGATTCACATAGCACTATACACCATGGTCCATTGTATAACAACCCTCATGTGAGCTGTCCGTCTCTCTCTCTCTCTCTGAATTGGTCAAATCAAATTTGTCGTACCCACTTCACTTGTGGAACAAAAATGCTGACCAGTTTCCAGGTGTATTCACATGCCTACTTTTCCTTCTTTTTTATTGTATTGGTTTTATCCCACAAAACAAATCATCGATACAATTCATTTTAGGAATAAGGTTCAAATTGGCCACTGAACGTAACCTGAAAATGCAATTAGGCCACTGAACGAAAAAAAAGTGCAATTAGGCCATTGAACACTCAAAAAATGTGCAATTAGACCACTGAACTCTCCAAACGTATGCAATTTTACCGGATAACAGGTTACCATCAATTTTAGCAGGTTACCTGCTTACGTGGCAGCTTAGTTGGCATTTTTAATAATTTTTAAATAATTTTTAATAATTAATTTTAATAATAAATTTTTATAAAAAATTAGAAAAAAATAAATAAAAAAATAAGATAAAGTCGTTTTTATTTTTAAAAAAAAAATTTAATAAAAAGTTATTATTAAAATTTACGGAGTATTAAAAATTAATTAAAATTTATTAAAAATGTCAACTCAGCTGCCACGTAAGCAGATAACCTGCTAAAATTGAGGGTAACCTGCTATCAGGTGAAATTGCACATTTTTGGAGTGTTCAGTGGCCTAATTGCACTTTTTTTTCGTTCAGTGGCCTAATTGCATTTTCAGGTTACGTTCAGTGGCCAATTTGAACCTTATTCCTTCATTTTAATATATTAAAAATTCACTTGTAATACATTAAATGGAATTTATTTTTAATATACTGAAAGTTTAAATATCTTCAGTATATTAAAAATAAATATTTATGAATGCAAAAATAAAATGTATTGAAAGTTTAAGTACCTTCCATATACAAAAATTAAATATTTATCAATACTTCATATTGTAATATAGACAATGGTCCACATAGTACAATTTGCTATAAAAGAAAATGATTTCAATTTCATGACCATTTAATTTCCAATAGTTGAATTAGTTGAGTTGGTAAAATAGTTAGTCTATTGGTCACAATATAAATTCACCTACAACCAACAACAGTTTTACCAGGAGGGAGGGGGACTAACTCCCATATGTCACTAGACTCCCGGGCCTCCATCTCAATCAACATGGTTTGGCGCCAACCTGGATCCGAGAGGACCTCACGAGTGGATTTAGGTATAGACACAGAAGAAAGGTGAGAAAGGAAAGCAAAGTTGATAACTCAAAAAGGTATATATAGGATGAGGGTTACGAGTAGAGCGTGTACCTTTTCGGATAGCAATAGGTGCCTCAGTGAGATCAGTGTCGAATTGCAGTTGAAGTGGTGGAACCGCAACCGGAGGATCGGGTGGCATGGATGAGTCAACAGGAGCCTCAACAGACACAGGGCGTGGACGGCGTTGGTAGACTTGAAGGGGGGCGGTCAGGAGCATTAGGAGCAGTTGGAGGAATAGGATCCTGGGCAAGAGGAAGTGGACCAAGATAAGGAAGAGGGAGAACCTCTGAAATAGAGACTGTGTCACCTGGTGAGGGCTGGAAAAAAAGAGTAGACTCAATAAAAGTGACATTAGCAGACACAAAACAACAATTAAGTTCTGGAGAATAACACCGATAACCCTTTTGGAGCCGGGAATAACCCAAGAAAATACACTTGATAGCCTTAAGGGCCAATTTCGAACGCCCACGAGTCATGTCATGAACAAAACAAACACACCCAAAAATTCAAGGTGGAAGAGGGAAAAGATCAACCGAAGGATACACAATGGAATATGGGGTCTCATTGTTTAGTACTAAGGATGGCATGCGATTTATCAAGTAACACGCAGTAAGGATAACATCTTCCCAAAAATGACGAGGAGCATGAGAATGAACTAACATAGTGCGAGCAATTTCAATTAAATGTCGATTCTTACGCTCAGCCACCCCATTCTGCTAAAGTGTGTAAACACACGACCGTTGGTGTAACATACCCCAATATGTCATATAGGATTGAAAGGGGTTAGAAAGATATTTTTTAGCATCGTCACTACGCAGAACACGAATGGGTTTACCAAATTGAGTTTGTATTTCAGCACGAAAATTTTGGAAAATCTGAAATAACTCAGAACGATCTTTCATAACGAACAACCAAGTACACCTAAAATAATCATCCGTAAAAGTGACATAGTAACGAAACCCCAAAGCAAATTGACACGACATGAACGCCAAACATCAGTATGAACTAAATCAAAAAGAGACGCTGTCGATTATTGACTCTCCGTGGAAAGGACTTACGTGATTGCTTTCCAAGGTGACACGACTCACAGTCTAATGACTCTATAGACAGACCTAGAACCATCCGTCGAAGTTTAGAGAGACTAGGGTGGCCCAAAGCCCCAAACGACTATGGAGAAGCAAGTGAGAGTCTGTGGAACCACAGGCAGCAAGATCATCAACACGAAGGTAATAGAGGCCTTGTGCCAATCACCTTCCCTGTACTATGATCCTGCACAACAACCGAATCAGCACAAAAAATTACGGAACAATTAAGGGTACGGGTGATTTTACTCACAAAGATAAGGTTGAAAAGACTATTAGGAACATATAAGACTGACCCTAAGGGGAAAGATGGTATAGGATGAGCTTGACCAACACCGGCAGCTGGTGTTTGATGACCATTAGCTAGGGTAACCATGGGCAAAGCCTTAGACTTTGTGACACTAGTCATAAGGGATATGTTACCCGAAATATGATATGAGGCAACTATGTCTAGAATCTAAGTATTTGTGTTGCTAGCTTGAGAGAAACACAACATAGAGGAGTTACCAACAGTGAGATATGAAGCCATAATATTATTCAAAAGGACAAGGAAAAACTGCCTCAAGAGATGGTTGGCCGGTAAGTTAACAGCTGACCAGTGAGTAGATCGTTGACGATAAGTTGACCGGCAGAGATGAGGAAACGGAAAACACAATCTAAAGTGTTTCCTGGAGACGAATTCAACGGTGGCAATGGCGTCTCGATCGGAGATCGGAACAGGGAAATATGGGCGGAAAAAAATCCCAAATCTTGGCGACGATGATGGCGTGTGGCGGTGCGTGAGCTCTCCTATGGCGGTGGCGGTGGCGGAAAAGCGATATTTTAGGGTTTAGGCTCTAATACCATGTTGAATGATGTGAAAGAATGAAAGGATTATCTTATTCAATTTAGAACTGTACAGGTACGAACTATTTATATAGGAATAAACTATAACCTAATGGGCCCATTCCTAACAAGCCTAAGGTTTCAACAATTTTGCTAAGGTCACAAGAGGATTATATGTATGGGAAGAAAAAAGTGGAAAATAGGCTAGAGTTACCCGTCATATGATCTGTGGCACCCAAGTCTATGATCCATTTGGAAGAAGACAAGAGAAGGCATGAGGTTGTGTTACCTAAGTCGACAATAGTCTGTCGATAATAGTAGTGACTGAAAAGGCCTAGTACTAAGAAAACTTGGTAAACTCATCAGCAGAGATCAATTCTGACTTGGCGAATGTATCATATTTATTTTCAGCCATACCCAAAAATAAAAAGAAATTACAATGTACAAAAAATTCAAAATGGAATGTGTACGTGACAAACTAACTATGAAGCAAAAGTCATCGACGATGTAATGGTCCAAACCAAATCAATCAAAACATTTTCCAATCACTGAAAACGCCACACGCGTCAATGCATGGAGAGAATGACAATGGGTGACAGTGGCGCGTGAGGCTCACACGCCGGGCAAAATGTCATCAAAATTTCCAGATTTAATCGCCAGACACCGACGTTCCACCCTAGTAAGCGGGCAATGAAAACACTAAAGCGAAAAAAAATTAATTGTAAAGACATGATACCATGTACAAAAGTGAAGAGAATTAGTGAATAGAAAGTTGAAAACACAATCCTATATATACATGCTAAAACACCTCTAAGAAGAAAACAAAGACAAATTATTTCCTTATAACCACCTACCCAAATCCCTATAAATCTCCTACTATATATACATTCCATAACACACTTGAAATTAATTGTATTTTGTACGTTGACTTTTATAAACTTGCCAGTTTTCGAAATCAAATATCAAATTTAATCAATTTTTAAATTAAAAGTGAAAAAGAAAAATGAACTTTTCGTCCATCAATTATACCATTACAAAATTTTTATCCCCAAGTGTGATTCTTTTCATCCCTGAACTGTATGCACGGTGACTTTTTTAATTCAACATGAGATCAGATGGGTGCAATAAACCAAAAAATCAGATAACGCAGTAAAATAATACCAATACACGCGCAAACAAATTTCAAGAGATAATAAACGTATATATATATTTAAATATTTCTTTATTTTCCATGAATTTCAACAACATATTCCAGATAGTCAATTCTCACTGTAAAAATGTATAAACATAAACATATTCACGACCCCCATCTGAAGAATACAGAAAAAATGGCATCACTACTCAAATGAGTGTTATAGAGGTCTTCTGTCATCGGCCTATAAATTTCATGAAATACAAATGAAATGGGTCAATAAATATTGGATCGTTTATACCTGTGGATCGAGTTCTGAATTTTCAAAATCGGATCCTAACGAGAGTGGAGTTTGGGAGAAATCTGTACAGAAACCTCATTGAAGTGGTTGAATGAGTGCCTATCGATGAGAATAGAAACTTTGGAGCTCTTAAAGAGCAGAAGCTAAATGCAAAGTGCAGCACCTGCTACTCAACGTCGATGTCCTTGACAGGAATGTCTTTTGTGAACGCCAATTCCGAAACCAAAGCAATATGATCACTTCCCCATTTCTGAAATAGCATGGCAAACCAATTAGTAAAGAGTATCTGATGAAAGGCACATGCACGGTTGTGATAGAAATAGATTACATCTGTAGTCAACTCTATATTTTGGTATTGGGTAAATAGCAAACTTTGAGTAGGTTCAAAAATTCCTATCAAATATACTAATATAGTGTAAAAATAGTAGAGCATAGCTACAATTTAATGGTTGTAGGCTACTAGTAGCATCATAGCATGTGATTGAGCAATAAACTATCAAAAATGTAACTATCGTGGTACACCTATTGTTCTAGTCACTATTGCAAAAATCGATCTAGGCGGCCGCCTAGGCGCTAGGCGCTCCTAAACCATGACGATTTCCCCCCTAGGCGCCTAACTCGATCGAGTTAACTCGTCCATTTCGGTGGAGTTAGCTGAGTTAACTTGGCCGACTCAGCCTTGCTCATTTTTTCATTATATATATATATATATATATATATATATATATATATATATATATATATATATATATAGAATGAGTGCGAATGCTTCGCCCAGGCGCGAAATAGGAATGAATTCTGTTCGTCCACGTGTCCAGATCTAATGGATGAGAAACACTGATTTTTTTTAAAAACGCGGTGGCATTTTCGTAAATAATTAAACATCAAAGTGCAAGTAAAATGTATTACAAGTGCATGTAAAATGTATTATTGGTGTAAGTAAAAATTTACACTGAGCATCAATACTTAGTTGCACTTATAGTTCTAAGTAATTGCACCTATAGTTCTAAGTAGTTGCACAAATAGTTATAAGTAGTTGCACCTAGGTGTATGAATGTTTGCGAGTGGTTTTCAGGGGTATTACTACCCGCTGAACTCAGATCAATGAATGTTAACAAGACAAATTACATGCACTTATAGGTGAAAGTAGGTGCACCAATAGTTATAAGTAGTTGCATCTATAGTTATAAATAGTTGCACATATAGTTATAAGCACATCAGGTGCATGAATGTTTGCGGAAAGTGAATGCTAACAAGGCAAAATCACATGCACTTATAGGTGAAAGTAGGTGCCTATAGTTATAAGTAGTTGCACCTATAGTTATAAATAGTTGCACACATAGTTATAAGCACACCCAGGTGCATGAATGTTTGCGGAAAGTGAATGCTAACAAGGCAAAATTACATGCACTAATAGGTGAAAGTATATAGGGATGCACTCAGGTGTGAATAAGTGCTCAGGAGGGAAATGCAAACGAATCAGCGCGCGACACGTGTCCAGATCTAATAATTTAAAAAAAAAACGCGGTGGTATTTTCGTAAATAATTGAACATCGAAGTGCAAGTAAATCACTTACAAGTGCACCTACTTTCACCTATTAGTGCATGTAATTTTGCCTTGTTAGCATTCACTTTCCGCAAACATTCATGCACCTGGGTGTGCTTATAACTATGTGTGCAACTATTTATAACTATATGTGCAACTACTTATAACTATATGTGCACCTACTTTCACCTATAAGTGCATGTAATTTCGTCTTGTTAACATTCATTGATCTGAGTTCAGCGAGTAGTAATACTCCTGAAAACCACTCGCAAACATTCATACACTTAGATGCAACTACTTATACCTATGTGTGCAACTACTTAGAACTATAGGTGCAACTACTTAGAACTATAAGTGCAACTAAGTATTGATGCTCAGTATAAATTTTTACTTGCACCTATAATACATTTTACATGCACTTGTAATACATTTTACTTGCACTTCGATGTTCAATTATTTACGAAAATGCCACCGCGTTTTTTTAAAAAATCAGTGTTTCTCATCTATTAGATCTGGACACGTGGACGAACAGAATCCATTCCTATTTCACGCCTGGGCGAGCCGTTCGCACCCGAGTGCAACTCTATATATATATATATATATATATATATATATACCCACACACGTGCACTGTTTTATATTTTTTAGTTAGCCAACTAAGCGCCGCTTAGGCCGTCTAGACGCTACTCTACCGTCCGACTAGCGACTAGTGCCTAGCACCTACTACAACAATGGTTTTAGTATGTGCTTTAATGGTCATGCCAACTTTAATCCATTTCACCTCATGATACCAAGACAACTGTACCATCTCCATAGCATTGTGTATAGGTTGCAATCATACCTTGGTGGGGAAACCCTGAACCCACTGCATGGCTTGTTTTGGAATTGGAGCAAGTACCCTCACAGTTTGAAGACCTTCAGAACGCCTACACATAAATTTATCATTTATAACAATTCAATCAACACTATCAACAAATATAATATAATCTTAAGCTCCAAAAGGTATACTGTTGAGTTTATCTCATATAGGGATTAGGAAAATGAGTGTGAAATAAGGAATAGGAGTGAAGCGGTTGTACAGGGATTAGATGCCTATAAATACATTGGTTGTATCCCTAGGTGTTGGATTACCATCATCACCATCACAAGTACTTAAAGAATAGTTTCACTCCTGTGGACATAGACACATTGTCAAACCACGTAAATCTTGTTTTCTTTACTTTTCTACTATTATAATTGTTTCTCGTTCTTGTTAATCTCAACATATACAGATGCACCAACATGTAGAGATGTGTTTATGTGTGTCTGGAGGGAGAGAGAGAGGGAGAGAGAGTGGGTGGCTTACGGCTTGACAACTTTCTCCAAACTCAAGAGAATTGAGAACATTATATATCTTAAGGTCCCTTCAATGAAAGCTAACCTTGCTTGCGTTGCAACCCAAATAGGTTCCCACAAATTATGCAGAGGCAACTAGCTGCAACCCAGATCAGTTATGAGGAAAACTCTAAAGACTTACCATATGTAATCAACGGTACCCAGGAAGCAGCTGTGATAACTGGTCACTTCAGGTTCTCCAGTAGAATCTCTCGTTCCTGTGACTTCCTGCAATATACAAATGAATGTTGGGATAGAGCAACAACTTATAACAAGCACAGTACCATCTTGCAGGGTCGAGGCATAAAAAGGTATGGAGTATATTTGAAGCTACAATTAATCTTGTAAGAGCTACCTCTACTTCCCGATACACACTTCTTAGCTTCAAACGGTGTTCCATTACCGTGCAATCCACACTGCCCGTTGCAGTTTGTATCTCTATTGGAGTCCAAGCTGATGGATCATAAGTGAATCTGTCGTAATAGAGAATTTCTTTCCCCAAAGCCGATCCCTGAGATTGCTCATCTAATTTTTCAGACTCATATACTTGCAATTGAGTAGATTCAGTTGCACCACATAGCTCAGATAAAAATGCTTCACTGTCTTCACCTATAGACTGATCCTCTGCCTTTTCAAAGACATTGTCCAGTGATAAATTATCCATTTTCTTATCGAACAAAGCATCAGTCTTTTCAGTTGTGTAATTAAATTCATGCGGATTTGGATCACAACCCTCCACATTACCATTTGAAAGCAGTGATACATCTTTCTCTTTAGTTGGAGAGATTGAATCTTCATTATTAGGAGAGACAGCCGAACTATCTTTTGAGACACTAAGAGGAACAGAAAGAGATCTTTGGGAATCATGGAAATTTTCTACTGTTCCTTCTCGACTTTTATCTTCAAAGTGGACACTCACAAAAGAATCACTGGAATTATTTACTACAGAATTCTGATTTTGAGACCTGATGCCTCTGGAAACTCCATCTACAGACTCAATTTCTGGGGACCATGTCCTTACATTTGGTGTTGAAGAGCTCTCTCTTCCTTGTTCCTCCCGTGACACCGGGGAATCTTTAACCGAGTCAGCTGAAGACTGGGCCCTAAATAACAATCAAAGCAGCATGTCAGATCCAAGGATAGATATATTATGCACATAGAATGTTGTTAATTAAAACAAATGCACGAGAAAAGACCGGGAAAATTAATATTCAATAACCAAGGTTGCAAAACACGTTAGGCGCCCCCTAGGCGCCGATTTATTTTTATTTTTTTAAAATTTTTTTTTATTTTTTAAAAAATAACAAAAATTAAAAATTTGTGAAATTCACTAATAAAACATAAGGTTCCTCTAGTTTTTTCTTACAAATTATTTACATAAGTGGTTGTAAAATCGTTTTGAATATTGTTAAAACCATCTAAATACATAAAAAATTAAAATTAAGAGCAAAAGAAGCATTTTTTGGAGAAATTAGAGGGTCAAACCGCCTTGAAAAAATACGCGATTTGAAAAAAAGAATTGTCCAAAACAGATAACCGAGTCAAAAGTTATGTCTTCCCGAACTTTTAACACTTTAAAACGCAAAAAAAAAAAAAAAAAAAAAAATTCAAAAATTCAAAAATTAAAAAAAAAAATTAAAATTAAAATAAATTAAAATAAATGGCCGAACCGGCAACGGAAGAGGCCGATTCCGGCCAGCGGCCGCCTAGCGCCTAGGCACGATTTTTGCAACCATGTCAATAACACAGATAAAAAAAAAAAAAAAAAAAGAAGAAAAAAAAAAAGTGTGTATACCCAAAGCTTTGACATTGAATACAGGACACCAGAAAATAAAAACTGGTAAGGATTTTAATCAATCTAGCCTAAACAAACGCGCGCACAATATTTTTGAAACATGGAAACACCTCATGTAGCAAACATGTTAAATCTAATTAGTTTATCAATATTAGATATTAGAATTTGTTGAATATTAGGAAAGCTGTCTTAGTTTCCTATTCTTATTAGTAGTTTCCTAGACTAATTTAGTATCTAGTTTAGTATATATAGAGGTCCATTGAAGTATAGAACATACATTAAGAGAGACAATCTATTGTAATCTTTCATTATAATATATTCTCTTTATTCTCTTGTTCTTTGGTTCTCACATATTTTGCTTCCGCCTAACTGGCGGGAGGTGGTTATTCTCCACCCGCCAGACCTATCAATACCTCAATTTCAACATGGTATCAGAGCCTACTTTCCTAGGCTGTTTTTCTTCAAATATTAAAACCCTAATATAAACCCTAGCTTTCCGCCGCCGCCGTCACCACCGAAGTTTGCCGCCGCCACCACGACTGCCAATCTCAGATCCGACGTGTCTTTGTGGTTTTTCTTCCATTCTTGCACCACAGCCTTTCTCGGATCATTGTCGCGAGCCTACACCTGGAAACTCGTCACCATCCGCCACCGCACGCGCTGTCACGCGCCACCACCGCCGACGGACTGCTTCAGTTTTTCCGGTCAGATCTCCTCTTCTCCGGCGATTTTCTGGTCTCACCTCCTTCACCGCTGGATTCCTCTCCCTCTTGCGACCTTATCTGGAAAATTTCATCGCTTTCCTCCATCGCCGTCGTCCTCACGCGCCACCGCTTCCGTCACGCGCCGGCGACCTTCCTCACGCGTCGGCGCGTGAGTCTGCCTCCGGCGAGATTTTTCAGATGGTTGTTTTGCCCTTCTTTCGACTTCTTGGTGAAATTTGAAGGCTTCTTTGGGTTTGTTGCCGAACATTTTCCCATGGTGTTTGTGTTTTGGTATAACCGTGTTTGTTTCTTTATCTCCGGTATGCCTTATCCCATGGATGGTCAGTTTCAGCACTACTATAAAGGCCTTTGATTATTTCCCATGTTTCAAGTAAGGGGGAGTGTGACTATCTACAATCGGTGTGCTATCCTTTACTATCATTTGCTATTTTATCTATTATGGGCTCTACTGCGTCCTTTGCTATTCTTTGCTCCCTTTTTGTCTCTACCGCTCTCGTGTTATCTGGAGGTTGTTCATGTTCAACTCTATCCTTGGTGTGTTCATCTTCATTCCCGAGATTCGTGTTCAATTCCGTCCTCGGTGTGTTCATTCCCAAGATCGTGTTTAGCTTCGTCCTTGGTGTCTTCGTCTTTATTCCCAAGGATTGTGTTCAGCTCCGTTCTTGGTGCCTTCGTCTTCATTCCCAAGGAAGGGTCAGACATAGCGCAATCTCTTTTGAAGTCATCCATCCTCGAGTGCTTATATTGTTGTGATGGTGTTCGTGTTTTCCCTTGGTGCCTCCATTCCCAAGGATGTTCGTGACAAGCTTTGCCCCTGGCGTGTTCATTCCCAAGGGTTGCATTGTCCCTCCGAAGCCATCTCGCATTGTGTCCTCTAGTTGCATTTAATTTTCACTTGTAATTTTGAGTGAGGTAGAGTGCTTGTTTTAATCCAAGCTTGGAACTTCAGGTGTTCCAGCTTGAGGGGGAGTGTTGAATATTAGGAAAGTTGTCTTAGTTTCCTATTCTTATTATAGTTTCCTAGACTAATTTAGTATCTAGTTTAGTATATATAGAGGTCCATTGAAGTATAGAACATACATTAAGAGAGACAATCTATTGTAATCTTTCATTATAATATATTCTCTTTATTCTCTTGTTCTTTGGTTCTCACATATTTTGCTTCCGCCTAACTGGCGGGTGGTGGTTATTCTCCACCCGCCAAACCTATCAATCCCTCAATTTCAACAGAATTTAAATGATCTAATCTAAAACTTGACTAATCTAAAAGCAAATACAATTTTGGAACTTCAATTACAGTGACTCAATACCTATTCACAGGAGGTGAGGGGTTCAGTAAATTAAGAGTAGCAGACTCCTGCCCAGAAACCTTATCACGAGGCACTTCTAATATGTTCAGCTGCAGAAGAAAAAGAAAACAAGTAGAGCATTTACATTTGTCCAATGCACAATTTGTAGAGGTAGTTAGGTAGAGGCAACAAAATGAAAGCAAATGTAAAGAACAAATTTTACCTTTTGTTCTGCAATAAAGTTGTACAATGGACTCTGGTAAAAGAAGGGGAAATGCACAAATAAATTAAGCAGTTTGTTGAGCACAGCACAAGTTTAGAACAATAAATAAAGTAGAATGTAAAAGAACACACCTTGGGCGTGCTGTTAAAATCTCCACAAATTACAATAGGAGCACCATCCCACAGTTTTGAAAAATAATCAGCCCTATCAAGAAGCAGTCTTATCTATTCACAAGCAAAATTAAGTTGAAAAATACATTTCATCAGTAAATTCTTTCCGCTTAAACATATATGCAACTACAAAATTTTCAAATGAAAGCACAGCAACTTTAGTGACAATACCAAATACTATAACCATTGATAAATGACATGGACATTTACGACTTGTCCGGAGGTAACAACGGTTGAAAAATAAAGAGTTAGTTTTATTTGTGTCTGTTTATGAATAGGTGTCAGTTATGAATAGTTACTTACAGTTATGTGTTTGTATATATATATGTACTATGTTTCTTTGTTAGAAACATACAGATAATACAGAATCATACATTATCTATACATTTTCCATTCCTTGATTCTTCATTCTTGCTTCCGCTTAACTGGCGGGTGGTTGTTATTCTCCACCCGCCAGGCCATTCCATCTTCCAAATTCAACACAACCAAGGAATAAAAAATTCTTTCCCTGGGTTACAAGCTGCCTCCTTAAGCTAAGGAAAAAGGTATGGAGTGGAAGGCTGTTGGGTCATAATGGATAGCACAATGGAGAAAGCATTTGAAAAGAGGAAAAGAAAACATGGCCTAAGTGAGGCACAAAGAAACAAGAATATCATATTGTTTCCGAGTAGATAATACGAAATTACATGGCGTTCTTACAAGACTTTCAGCAACCTAATAAAGCCCATTTGTAGAAAAGCATACCTGTCCAAGCTTCATCTCTCCCCTTCGAGGATTGAAGAGTACGTGAACATTACAGATTACAACTTTATTTGTATTTGATGAGCTGCAATAGAATTAAAAACTAAATTACTAGAATTATCCCTTACGTATTAAGAAACTGAGTGCATTATAATTGATAAGAACACTAGTTTGCAATTATGAGTTATGACCCACAAATAATTAAAATAGATCACCATAAAAGTTAACTTGGATGACCAAAACTAAATCAAGGACTAAAGAAAGTAATGAAAGATCATACCACCTGAAAATAATGTTTTTGAGCTCAAGATAAATCTGCACTTCAGAATTACCCAAATAAGCCTTAATACTTTCACTTCCCTAAGCTACTTACCAAGATAGTACAAAAATGACCATTTATGTGTACTGCAATCCACCTTCCCCAACCTCCCTAAGAGGGGACAAGTAAAATGTTCTTAATCCTTGTCTCAACATGAAAATTATAGTGAGGATCTTACGTATGTGGTACAAAAATGTTCTATAGAAACTATTTTCTTTGAAAGGAACAGTTCAGAAATATAAAAGATCACATATTTTACAATAAAAAACAAAAATGAATAGGTATATTTCTAACATAACAACTACCTTGTTGAGGAGGCTGCACTAGCATCACCATTACGCTGATCCAATAACTGTTAACAAGAATTGAAGATTAAACCGTACAATACAAAATGACAGAAAAATGGAGAAAAAAATCTGTAAAAGTGGTCAAGTAACACTTTGGGATTATATACCTCAAATACACATATCTGGGCAACATTATCCCGAAGACCATGATTTTTGAATTCAATGGAATCTTCATGCAGCAACTTGAATCTGTAAATTATCACAGAACTAGTTCAATGTAAACAATGTTATGTTGCCAACCTCAAGTATCAATGCCAGGGAACATGGTAAGTGGTGGTGCAATGATGAGACTCGAAGAAAGTTGTCTTTATCTCACACAATTCATAGAGCAATGAATGCACAACTTACATACAGAAGTCACTATCTTTAGTTACAAATCTCAGCTACTATGGAATAAGAACAAAACAAAGACAGTATATTACATAAGTAAGAAAGCCATTTAGATTAAGTGCATTATTCTGTTAAAAGTCAAATATCTTGCTGTTTCCAAATTAGTAAGTTACGTACTTCAGGATGATATACAGTAAAATGTTCTCTTCAATGAATGAAACAACGCATGCATGTTTACAACTATAAACCATGTTCGTAATTAGCTCAAGAACACAAGAAGAAGTTAAACTTGTATTCATTGTTCACAGCAAAAAAAAATATAGATTAATTTAATATTTCATCTCAGCACTGTGAAAGTAGAACTTTTACCTAGAACCACGCCAAAATATTGCACACCCATCAACTGCAACACCAGTTCGCATCTAAACTCAATATTGAATATATGATTAGTCCATACTTCAAGAGAATTCAAATGTAAAGTTTATTTCACTAAATATGCAGTACGTTGAAGTGGATTGTTGTGCTCCTAACAGAATTTCACACCTATAAAACTTTATACTATAGTATTTATTATTGATAAGTACAGAATCCATTAGGAGGCACCAAAGAGATTCCACCCATACAATAAAGATTGTACAGCAAATATACTACAGTATTAAAATCAAAGTAATGTTTAAGAAGTTCTGAAATCAAGATTTCTGAAGATAGGAACTACGGTGATGGATAATCTAGCTGAACCTCTGGTTTCCCAGTGCATCAGTACAGGATGGCAATTTGCTCCTTCACAATAACCCGCCCCTACTAAACTAGAATGGGGTACAGCAAATATACTACAGTACTTTTTTTTTTGTAAGTACATACTGAGAGCTCAAATTTGTGTTTTCAAAAAGAACAAACACAAATTACCTGTATTAATTTTTTTGATAGGTAAAGCAAATTAATTTGATTAGGGAAATAAGAAAAAAATTCAATTGTAACAGGTGTCAAGAAAGGTATTTTCACAAACAATTTTAATCTCTTATGTTCACTGTCATAGCTAACAGCAAGTACAGCACTGCCAATTAATGCCATAAATTTATTTTGAGGGAGAGAGAGACAAATTGGAGAAGTGTTCACACTCAAAATGAGGGACTAAATATTTTTTTAATCGACACATCACAATTAGGTATACAAGTAAAAATTTTTACTTTTAACAATAATAATTAGCATGTATGTCAATATAAATGCCAAATTATACATTTGTTAATATAAGGTAAATGAATGAACAGACGAATGAAAAGCAAAAGTAGAAAAGATTTTAAACCACATGAAATTCAATTAAGCAACACCTAAGCACCTATCATAACCTTGTCAAGCCAGTTCCATGATCACGATTATATTTGACTTTTTGCAGAATAATATTCCTAGGTACAGGGAGGCCCAGAGACACCCAAAAGTTGAACTTTTCAGTGAACCAGTTCACAACCTGAACTATATCTAGTAAAACCAAAAGCTAATCAGCTCTTGTTGATTACTATATAACCATAACTACTGATTACTGAACACTAATATGAGGCCCCTATTAGAGTACAAATATCAGGTATGCATCATCAACTACGTCTCACTTTGTATGCAATAGTAACCTCTGTGTGTATATTTATTTATTTATTATTAGTACTAGTATGAGTATTAGGATTAAACATAAAATACATGTGCATTCTAATTAAAACACCTTCCATATGCCACTGTATCCTCGCAACTGCAATTCAGCCTCTAAGTCCTTAAATCTGTCGACCTCCTGATATGTTTAGAATAAAACAAGAACCAAATGAATATCATCAGGTGTGCAGCAATTTTCAACTGAATATTAAAGAAGATAAAATATGAAAAACATAACATGTACAAAAGTGCTAACGTTTTTCCAGATTCTCTTTATTTCTTTTCAACTTCACATTTGGGAGGTCAATTTAAATCAAACATAACACATGTATTAAATGGAATATAGAAACTAATTTGTCCAGATGAACAAACTGTCACACAACAAACTCCAATTCCAACCAGAATGACTGGACAATGAAGACCAGACAAAGTTCAAAACTTTCTGGTATTATTTGAATGACTTGGTCCATGAGGACTTAGTATAACTAATGGCAAGCACCTTTTTTTCGTAATAGATACTAACCGAAGCATCACATCAGACAACCCTCCATCTAGCTTACCTGTCTATACATGCTGTCTTATATGTTTGAATAAATCTCATGATATTATCACCACCAAAGGACACGCATCAAGGAAATACCCGTTACTATCTTATTTTAATCAATTAAACATCCAAACAAAAAAAAAGGTCTGAAATAGTATTACGAAGTTCCTTTCCTGCTTTTATCAATGGTCTCTTCATTTTAAATGCAATCAAAAATCAGTGAGTATGTGGCATTGTGGCTACAAAATGGAAGTCACCAAATATTTATTCCACGTTTTGTAAACTATCAAACTCTATTTTCAGAAGTCCATAACATGAGCTAATGCATCAGAATGATAACCTGTAAACACAGTATATCAGCTGACCACAGTCCAAGTTCAAAAATAATACTTCTCTTACGCCACTCCCAGTCCAGAATATGCCGAGGTATGTGAAAGTAGAGTCTTCTCCAATGGTCAATTGCATGGCAATCAGCTAGTATGTTGTATGATAGAACAGTGAATCGGTCTGCAAGAGAAGTAGGAAACTGGACCATTTAGTAATGAACATAATTACACATAGGCTTTCAGCAATCAAATCCACAAAGCCAGCTCTAGAAAAGGCCCATTTGATCATGAAAATAGTTGAGCAACACTGCTAGAAACCAAGTTATGCTCCATGACATAACATCAAGCTCTTTTCCCACAAGGTTTCCCATTCTGTGGGTTTTGCAGTGCAGGAAACTGAGGTTTACTTAACTATGGTTTTCTTCTATCACTCGAGGTACCTTTTAATTAGGTATATTCAATCAATTCACAGTTAAGAAATCTAGACAAGGATAACTTGTAATCTTTCTCTTAAATTATAAAATCATGATTTTTTTTCCTGAAAAAAAAAAAAAATCTATGCCAAATATGGAGTGGTGACATACAATCCCTAAATGCCAATTTGAAAGTGAAACGGTAAGAAAGAAAAAAAAAATTACCATAATGTGGCGGAGGTTCAGGTTTGGCATGCTCCCAAACCCGGAAATTCAACGCCTTGGGAGGCTGCGGACGCGGCCGGAACTCATGCGGCGGTCGAGGCGGCCTGAACTGCTGGTTCTGATCAAAAGGCGGCCAGCCTGGGGGTGGTAGTGGTCTATTTAACTGCTGATTATAAAATGAAGGCGGCGGCGGTCTATGAAACTGTTGATTGGAGTATAAATTCGGAGGTGGAGGATGAGCGGAATAATAAGGAGGATGATGAGTGAAAGACGGCGGCGGTGGTCGCGGACTATATGGCCTGGGTTGCGAACGAGAATTCGGAAAGTTCCCACCACGGCTATATGATGGCCGAAACCCTCGATTAGTGTCCTGTACCGACCGGAAATGAGAGTCCCCGGATACCTGCTGGTCTCCACGGCCGCCTCCAGAAGGATGGTCGGAGTAACTTCTCCGACCGCGGCCCCTGCGGCCTCCGAACTGTAAACAGTTGATTAGAGTGAATTTTTATATACAGCGTACTTGAGTGGTTGTCGGTGATGATGTGAAAGTTTAGAATGGGGACTCACGTGCGTATGGTTGTACATGGCAGTACGGGATGCGACAGCGGAGGCAGCGTCAGAAGGCGTAGCGGCGGCTGTGACACCGTCGGAAGACGTTGCGGCGGCGAGGCGGTGGAAGGAAGGAGGAGAGCGCTTCATGAGAGCTCGATTCAGTGTCCGGTACTCCGTTTGTTTTGCAGTAAAGTGATTCTTTAACGTTAACGATCACAGTTACCATCTTTTATTAATTACACTTACAAAAACAATGACATTTTCTTTTCCCATGAATTGAGGGAGGTGATGACAACTATATAAAAGGGTATGGAGTAAATTACAGTTTTGGTCCAATGACTATTGATGTTTAGTTAATTTCAATCCACGACTTTTAAAACTAATAATTGAGTACCTTAACTATTCAATTTTGGTCCATCCTACCAAATTACCGGCGAAAAGTGGCCGGAAATTTTTAATGGCTAAAATCTTGAGGGCAATTTAGTCATTTCTACTTCCTCTTTTCTTCTCCCTCGTTTCTTCGCTTCCCTAGGCCGGAAAATTTGAGATCGAAGAAGGCGACCTCTTTTGGTACTCAAATCTCTCCCCCTCTAATGTCTGTTTTCTATAGGATATATAACTTTTGTATTTTCATTTATGCAGCAAACTTAGTAATCAGAGTCTTTGCGCAGTGAGTTTGAACTCGATCTGAAGCCTTCAAGTGCTTATCAATATCTATTTTTATAAAACAGTTTGTTGAATTTTTTTCTTTGGGGTTGGGAAAGTTGGGTGGTCTTTTCTGGATTCCTCACCTCATATTTATGTCAAAATAAGTATTCATATTCCTATTATTTTTCCTTCAAGTACCCACAACAGTGAAGCATGAGCCAAGAAATGGGAGTTCTCTAATCTGAAACATATCTCAATGACTCGAACTGCTGTTCGATGAGTCAAAGGCGGTGAAATGGACCACAGAAGAAAACAAGAGGTTTGAGGATGCACTCGCCTGTTCGTCGATCTCGAATTTTCCGACGTAGGGAAGAGAAGAAACGGGGGAGAAGAAAAGAGAAAGTGGAAATGACTAAACTGCCCTCAAGATTTTAGTCATTAAAAATTTCCGGTCACTTTTCGCCGGTAATTTGGTCCGATGGACTAAAATTGATAAAAATTGAATAGTTAAGGTACTCAATTGTTAGTTTTGAAAGTCGTGGATTGAAATTAACAAAACATCAATAGTCATTGGACTAAAACTGTAATTTACTCAAAGGGTATATTATGAAATGTAGTTACAATATACATGTAAGAAGAATATATGTACAAGAAGAATTATAGAAAGATTAAAATAGGGAGTCATGCTATAATTTAAATACAAGAATTCTAATACTAGTCCTAATACTCCCCTCAAGCACATGGCATACTTGTAACTCGTAGTTTGTTGAGAAAAAAAATCTAGGATCATATAATGTTTGGTGCGAGCATGAAAGATGGGATTGGCACACATAATATATATATATATGTAGCTCCAAGATTATCACACCATAATTTAGGAACTGAAATACCTGGAACATGAATTGCGCGTAGAAGGGACATGATCCAAATTACCTCAACACAAACATCTGCTAGAGTTTTATATTCAGTCTCGGATCTAGCAACAGTTATTTGCTTCTTGCAGACCCATGATAATATTAGACCAAGAAAAACGGCAAAGCCACTTGTGAATTTTCTATCCTCCGAACAGCCAGCCCAATCAGAGGATGATTGTCTGACTCGTAGACCAAAATTAACAGTTCATTTAACATACCTTAAAACTCTCTTTAGTTGTTCCCAGTGAGTAGGGGCATGCATATGTTGACACAACTGATTTGACTGCAAAGAAAAGATCAAGACGAGTGATAGTTAAATACTGTAATACACCAGCTAAACTCATACTCCTGTAATTGTAAGCAAATAAAATTGAATTACATATTAAAATTCAAAATTCAAAAGTATGGGCCCTGTTTGGTAAAAAAATTGACTTATAGGTCAATTTTGACTTTTTTGATCACTATTAATTGTTTGATTTAGCTAAAATATCAATATAAGTGTTTGGTTAATTAGCTTTTTGCAACTCCAAAATGCTAAAATTCAAAAAGCTACTCCAAGAAACTTTTTCAATTAGCTTTTCTAGAAAAAGAAATTATACCAAACAGCTATCACCAAACACTTTTCTACAATAGCTAATGTTATCAACTAGTTATACCCTCTAATTAACACAATCAGCTAACCGTCATTTACCAAACAGGGTCATGGTGTAAGTACAAGATCTCTGGATCTCTGGATGGACCTCCGATTCTTCAATTGGATGTCTTAACCTTCGAGCTTATATGTTTGTTCTTCGTTGAAGGGACTCTGGGTTCAAATGGCTTGATCAGATTGACAATTTCGCATGATCTTCTGGATCATTTTATTGTGATATCTAAATAATATTTTAGTATGTATATTTTCAGGATGTTTACATGATTTTTTCTAGGATGGTTACCTAGAAATGAGAGGGATGAAAGAGTTTTGATAGGTTCAAACTCTTTTGATATTATATAGTTAAACAAATTTGATATATTTGATAATATCAATAATATTCAAAATATATTCAAATTTAATAATATAAAACAAATCTTTTATCAAATTTTTAGTGTCAATAGTGATATTCAATATAACAACCAATTTAGTATTGCTAAAGAAAAATATATTTCAAAATGAATTTTGAAGATTAATGTTCGATTTTATCAATTTTTAAAACATTATCAACAACAAAGCTACCATTTTACAGATTTACATTTGCATACCCAAGCATAGAAGAGATCTGTGATTTTTCAAAATCAAAGAAAAAACAAAAACGAAAGTACAAAACAATATAGATCTTGAAAATAAGTAGAAAATTATGTGTATTACTCAATCTCACACACAATATTAAAAAAAAGTCTACATTATGACAATCTTATAATGAAACCACACCAAGACATAAATAGAGAACAAGATTATAATTGGACTCCACATATAAAAAGGAGAAATTAGATATAAAATCAACATAGTTGTTACATAAATAAATTTTACATAATATATTTATAATTCAAATTTAATAAGATGAGTAACAATCATATAAGAATTCATTCTTACGTAGGAACCTAGGAACTCACTATAGCCGCCATTTATTTAGGGTGATCAATGATTTAGATTAAAACTTATTTTTATGGAATTTTATGGATATTTTTTTATTTATTTTAGGTAGTTGGGATATTTAGGGTATTTTAATATGTGATCCGTATGTTTAACTATTTCAGTCTGATTTCATTGTTGGTTTCCCTTTTCCTTCTCGATTACGTATTCTCGATCGAAAGAGTACCACTATCGGTGAAACTCATGAACGGAGAAGGAATGAATTATTGGTGGTGGTGGTGGTGGTGGTGGTGGTGGTGGAGGAGGATGTTGTGGATGGAGAGCAAAAGAGAGTAAAAGGAAAGAGAACTTTTCATCATTATTACAGCAGGAAGAAGAAGCCTTCTTTTATACAGAGGAAGGAACCAAAACTGCTAGCCTGCTAACTAACTGATCAGCTAACTAACTGAACAGTTTACACAATTGCTACAGTATTAACTACTTTAACTAACTGCATTATACACCTAAAAGCCCCCCTCAAGCTGGATTGTACAAGTCCAACAATCCAAGCTTGGAGATATAAGAATGGAAAGATTTTGGGCAGTGAGATTTGGTAAAAGGATCAGCCAACTGATTCTCTGAAGTGATGTGCAGCAACTTGATGATCCCATTGTTTAATTTCTCCCTTACCAAGTGGCAGTCTAGCTCAATGTGTTTAGTCCTCTCATGGAACACTGGATTTTCTGCAATAGCAATAGCAGATTTACTGTCACAATATACAGCCACAGCTCCATTGTGATTAATACCCAAATCTGTCAGCAAGAAAAATAGCCACTGTATCTCACAAGTGGTGGCTGCTAAAGCCCTGTACTCAGCCTCTGAGGATGACTTTGAGATTGTGGGCTGCTTCTTGGACTTCCAAGAGATCAAAGCATTCCCTAAGAAAATACAGAAGCCTGTTACTGATCTTCTTGTGTCAATGCAAGCTCCCCAGTCAGAGTCAGAAAAAGCTTTCAATTGCAAGTTGGAGTCTGTTGGAAAGAAGAGCCCTTGGCCAGGGGCAGCTTTTATGTATCTTAACACTCTGTGGGCAGCCTGGAGATGTAAATGAGTGGGTTTGTCCAGATATTGAGATAATTGTTGTGTAGCAAACCCAATGTCAGGTTTAGTGACAGTTAGGTACAGGAGCTTGCCCACTATTCTTCTGTATTGTGTGTTGTCCTCAAGAGGTTGGCCCTCATTTTTACTCAGCTTTTGTGAAAGAACTGTTGGACTATAAACAGGTTTTGAATTTATGAAACCTGTATCATCAAGCAACTCTAGAGCATACTTTCTTTGACAAACAGCAATGCCTTTTGTGTGTCTAGCCACCTCTAACCCAAGGAAATATTTCATAGGTCCCAAGTCTTTTATCTGAAACCTCTCATTGAGTTGTATTTTAACTCCTTGAATAGATTCTAAGTCGGCACTTGCAACCACAATATCATCCACATAGACTAGTAGGGCCATGAAGAACTTACCCTGTCCTTTTGTGAATAAAGAATTATCAGGCAAGGACTGTTTGAATCCCATATCTTGGAGTGCAACATTCAACTTGGTGTTCCATTGCCTGCTAGCCTGTTTCAATCCATATAAGGATTTGTTAAGTCTACAAACTTGTCTTCCTTTATTGGTTAGCAAACCAAGAGGTAACTGCATATATACTTCTTCTTCCAAATCACCATGAAGAAATGCATTGTTGACATCCATTTGGTGTAAGTGCCACTGTTTTGCTGCTGCTACTGCTAGAAGAGTCCTTATGGTTGTCATTTTTACCACTGGACTGAAAGTATCTAAGTAATCAACCCCAAGAGTTTGATTGTAACCTTTTGCCACCAACCTTGCCTTATATCTTTCTATGGTTCCATCAGCCTTATGCTTGATCTTATATACCCACTTGCACCCAATTGGCTTCTTGGAAGGAGGTAGGTCCACAAGATCCCAAGTGTTGTTTCTTTCCAGGGCATTAATCTCTTCTTGCATAGCTGTTTTCCAACACTCATGTTGGATAGCTTCTTGATAATTTCTGGGCTCAGAATGACATGAGATATTCATAACAAAGGATTGATGTGGTGGTTCTAATCTTCTGTA